CAGTGGTTTTACATTTGCTGAGGAGTGCTTTACTTCCAATTATGTGGTCAATTTTAGAGTTGGTGTGATGTGGTGCTCAGAAGAATGTCTATTCTGTGGATTTGGGGTGGAGAGTTCTGTAAATGTCTATCAGGTTTGCTTGTTCCAGGTCTGAGTTCAAGTCCTGGTTATCCTTGTTAACTTTCTGTCTGGTTGATCTGTCTATTATTGACAGTGGAGTGTTAAAGTCTCCCACTATTATTGTGTAGGAGTCTAAGTCTCTTTGTAAGTCATTAAGAACTTGCCTCATATATCTGGGTGCTCCTGTATTGGGTCCATATATATTTAGGAACGTTAGCTCTTCTTGTTGCATCCATCCTTTTACCATTATGTAATGTCCTTCTTTGTCTCTTTTGATCTTTGTTGCTTTAAAGTCTATTTTATCAGAGACGAGAATTGCAACTTCTCCTTTTTTTTTGCTCTCCATTTGCTTGATAAATCTTTCTCCATTCATTTATTTTGAGCCTTTGCGTATCTTTGCATGTGAGATGGGTTTCCTGGATACAGCACACTGATGGATTTTGGCTTTTTATCCAATTTTCCAGTCTGTGTCTTTTGATTGGTGCATTTAGCCCATTTACATTTAGGTTAACATTGTTATGTGTGAATTTGATCCTGACATTTTGATGCTAGTTGGCTGTTTTGCCCATTAGTTGATGCAGATTCCTCATTTTGTTGATGCTCTTTAGCATTTAGTATGTTTTTGGAATGACTGGTACTGGTTGTTCCTTTCTATGTGTAGTGCCTCTTTCAGGAGCTCTTGTAAAGCAGGCCTGGTGGTAACAAAATCTTTGAGTACTTGCTTGTTCACAAAGGATTTTATTTTTCCTTCACTTATGAAGCTCAGTTTGGCTGGATATGAAATTCTGGGTTGAAAGTTCTTTTCTTTAAGGATGTTGAATATTGGCCCCCACACTCTTCTGGCTTGTAGGGTTTCTGCTGAGAGATCTGCTGTGAGTCTGATGGGCTTTCCTTTGTGTGTGACCCGACCTTTCTCTCTGGCTGCCCTTAGCATTTTCTCCTTCATTTCAATGCTGGTGAATCTGATGATTATGTTCCTTGGGGTTGCTCTTCTTGTGGAATATCTTTGTGGTGTTCTCTGTATTTCCTGGACTTGAATATTGACCTGCCTTGCTAGTTTGGGGAAATTTTCCTGGATAATACCCTGAAGAGTATTTTTTCAGCTTGGCTTCATTCTCTTCATCACATTCAGGTACACCTATCAAACGTAGATTAGGTCTCTTCATGTAGTCCCACATTTCTTGGAGACTTTGTTCATTCTTTTTTGCACCTTTTTCTCTAATCTTGCCTTCTTGTTTTATTTCACTGAGTTGATCTTCGACCTCTGATATTCTTTCTTCTGCTTGGTCAGTTCAGCTGTTGAGACTTGTGCGTGCTTCACGAAGTTTTTGTGTTGTGTTTTTTAGCTCCATCAATTCACTGATATTCCTCTGTAAGTTGTCCATTCTTGTTATCATTTCCTCAAATCTTTTTTCAAGGTTCTTAGTTTCTTTGCATTGAGTTAGAACATGTTCTTTTAGTTGATGGAAGTTTCTCATTACCCAGCTTCTGAAGTCTGATTCTGTCATTTCATCACATTCATTCTCCATCCAGCTTTGTTCCCTTGCTGGTGAGGGATTGTGGTCCCTTGTAGAAGGCGAACTGTTTTGGTTTTGGGATTTTTCCTCCTTTTTGCGCTGGTTTCTTCCCATCTTGGTGGATTTATCCACCTGTAGTCTGAGTAGTTGCTGACTTTTCGATTGGGTCTCTGAGTGGACGCCCAGATTGTTGATGATGAAGTATTTCTGTTTCTTAGTTTTCCTTCTAACAGTCTAACCCCTCTGCTGTAGGACTGCTGAGTTCCACTCCAGGGCCCTGCTTGCCTGGGGTACACCTGTAGCAGCTGTGGAACAGTGAGGGATGCTACCAGTTTCTTCTTCTGCTCTCTTTGTCCCAGAATGATGCCTGCCAAATCTCAGTCTGATCAGTCCTTTGTGAGGTGACTCTTTGGATATACAGGGGTCAGAGAGTTGCTTGAGGAGACAGTCTGTACTTTATAGGAGCTCAAGTGCTGAACTGTGATCTCCGTTGTTCATTCAGGGCTGCTAGGGAAGTACATTTAAGTCCGCTGCAGCAGAACTCATAAAGCCCCTTTTTTCCTCAGGTGCTCTGTCTCCAGGAGTTAGGGCTTTATTTGTGAGTATCCGTTGCACTGTCCTGCCCAGCAAGGAGGCAGTCTAGTCACTGCCTGCCTGCCGAGGCTCCACCCTGATGCTGTGGGCTCTGCCCTGCTGTCATGGGCTCCACCTTGTTGCCGTGGTCTCTGCCCTGCTGCCAAGTGTAATTCCCTGTAGTCCTGTTTATATGGGTGTGGTTAGGACTGCCGTGGCAATGATGGCCTGCCTCTGTATTGGGGGACTCTCTTTGTTATGGCCAGTTGCCTTGGCAATGGCAGGCTGTGTCAGCAATGGGAGAGTGCCTCCGTAGGGGTGGAATACCTTGGTAATGGCGGATGCCCCTCCCCCACAGAGCTGCAGTATCCTGGGTTCAGCTGTGCTTGCCGTGAAACTCTCAATCTGGGGCATTTCCAATTGCTGTTTTGTTTGTTTTTGTGAGGGTGGGACCCGCCGAGCCTGATCACTTGTCTCCCTGTCTCAGAGCCCTGTGGTTTTTTTTAAGTTGAACGATTGACTCTCTCCCAGGTGTTTCAGTCACCTGCTCAAAGGGCACTGGGATCTGTGTAATTTCCCATGCAGCGACCCACTGCGCAAGCTCAAACGTCACTACCCGGGAATCTCCTGGCCTGGCTTACTGTTTAAGTCCCATTTAATCAGATGAATGTGCTAAACTGCCTTCCCAAATCTCAAATTGCTGGTTTAACAGGGCAACCAGACCAGTGTATTTTGTACAGAGTTCTACTGCACTGTGGCTATGGCTGAAATGACCGCGCCAGCTGAAACAGCTGTGCTGGCATTCCGTGGAACTCCTACACCTGGGAATTTCCTGGTCTGTGGGTAATAAAGATCCGTCTGTAAATGCAGCATCCACTCACCCTCTGTGCTTTCACTGAGAACTGCAATCCTGAGTTACTCCTACAGCGCCATCTTCCCCCTTCGTTCCTATCTTCTATTTCTGAGACTATGACTATCTTGTCCCTTTCTAGTTTTTCTTTGACTTATATATTTTTTTCTTTAAATATTTATTTTTTGTTTTGGTCCCCTTTATATTATCAGCCTTCCTCAGATGTATACTGGCACTTGCTTTTCTGTTTATATTTATGATGGGGCTTTAAAAGTTTGGTTTGAGTATCTCAACTGATTGGCAGTATTTGTCTAATACAGGTTGAGTGGTTGGCTGGGTCACTTGGTCACAGAAATTCTATGCCAATTTCTATAGTCTTGGCTGGCAGTTTTGTGGGAGCTCTGCTAAAGTCAACTGAGAATTTCAGAATTTGGTATGTAAGAGTTGACTCAATTTCTTTGTTTTCAGCACCTTCATTCTCAAGTTGGCTTTGCTTTAGAGAGTTTTTGTTTATTCTCCACAAAAAATGAAGCTCCTAATTTTGCTGCAGTGATGAAGGGACACGGGGGAGATGAAGATGGAATCTGGTGATGTACAAATTTCAAAATTCCCTTTATTTTATGCATAACAACTCAAAACTTCCTTTTGTTTTTGGTCTTTTTGTTTACTGGCTTAAATTTTATCTTCTGAACCTCCCAACCAATACAGCATAATAATCAATTTATAACTCAACTGCATAATACATAGGCCCTTCTTAAAATGTTCAGCAAATGTGAGCATGTGAGCTGCAGATCACAATCTTGACCAGGACATCATGAAATCTACCATGTATTCCTGAGGCCTACTCCCCTCATATCTAAGTCCTCTCCCGTGAAGAAATCAACATGGGTAGTAATAAAATTCCCCATGACAACAGAGAAGATTAGGTTGTTAAGAATACAGAGAAACAGCAGTAAATATATTTATGAGGATAATTATATGACAATAAATTAAGAATAATTTTCTCTTTTGCCTCTGGACAATTGTAGTCTAACACTTCACAAAAGCATGGGTTTATGTAATCATTTTAATTATTTTAAATCCTGTCTCTCCTGTGGCTTCATTATGAAAGAAAACTAATTTTATGCTTCACAATATGTTCCAGTGCTCACCACTGATTTTTCCTAAGTAAAAACAGCAGAAAGTAGAAACTTTCTGTACATCTATGTCTTTATATGCTGATGTAATGCCAAATATAATGCCTCCCATGATTCCTATTATTGAAGGGTCTTTTTTTCTTAGGGTAACAATGGTTGAATTTTGACAGTGAGGTATGCATATAAACTATCAAGGCTTTCTTTTGTGTTTTGCCATTCAGGGAAAAGAGAAAATAAAGATGGAAAAGAGAAAGTAAAGATGGCAAATGATTAGAGAACAATATATGTTTTTCTTCCTTTCTGGCTGAAAATAATTATTTTGTTCTCAAATTGTGATGATTATAAAAGCCCTTGGAATGTGTTACGGGAAGAAATTGTGCTTCTGAGTACTAGAACTTACTAAACTTGTGACTGGAAGTTGTGTTGGTGACCTGGGATAATCTACACTTTCAATTAGCAAAAGTTAGGTAATCTTCCAATTAACTGATAAATAATCAGATATTTATTCTTCCTAGGGAGTTTCAAGCACTATACAAAGTATTCGTGAGGGGAGTTGTCAGTCTCACTCACCGTAATCAACATTTTCTTTATCCTGCTGTCCAATATAATTCATGAATATGTAGAAGAAAAATAATACAGTTGATTAAAAAGCAACTGATATAAGCATTCAGACAACAGAAGATAGAGAAAAAATAGAAATTTATATACATTTAGCATAGAAATGCTACTTTTGTAAAATGGTGAGTGAATATGGCGAGTCCCTGCAGATCCCATGCATCAAGATATACTTTCTATTAAGAAGTAGAAGCCACCTAGCAGAGGAGATACCATGATTATGAAGGTGGTTTTTCCAGGGCGAGTCTTATCCATTGCACTCCGGGTGTGCTGACCCCTGTGATTTCACCAAATTTGGAAAACTTGACTGCATAATTTGTAGTAGTTGTGGGCTGCCTTCGCGCTTTCCCCTGACTTAAAAAAAAAAGAAGCAGCAGCAGCCTAGAAGAGTGAAATGAACATGAAACCCCAGTGAAACCAATCCAGACCACACTAAAACTGCACTAAGCAGCTGTCATTTACTCACACAATTTGCCATCCCTCAGTGAAAGCTGATTAGTGATTTACCCAGAATCCCATTTTTGCAAACTTTTGTAATTAATTCATCTGTTATTTGATGTTTTCTAAAATGTGTCACCAAATTATATCATTTTGTATATTCTTCATCTTTTGAATTAAAGCGATGTGTTTTGGGTATTAAAGCAGACACTTAAAAATATATGCTATGAAGTGACTTGTATTTAAGTACACTTGCTTCTTCTCTATGATTGTGCTAGATGCTCCTATTTCAAATGACTGCTTAAAGTGCATGAGATATACTCCTTGACATTTATGTTGGAATTACTTAATAATCCTATCTGCTTGAAGGTAGTGCATCTATTTTCACAATCTCTCTCTCTCTCTCTCTCTCTCTCTCTCTCTCTCTCTCTCATCAAATACTAGACATGTATAACTGTCTCATTAAGACAAAGTAAACAGAAAACCTTTTGAATACACTTGCAAAGATGTTCAAACACTTTAAACACATGTATTTTCCCCTTTCAATTACTTTATATTAAATAATTGTTGCCTTCATTCAGTATCATTATCAAAAAGTCAAAATTAACACTTGTTCTTAACTCATAATTGGTATCTGGAAAATTTTATAAATTTATTTAAATGTTAAGAATCTTAAAACTTTTACTGTCTACTGTTCCATTGTAGGATCTTGTTATCTATTTTTTTAGTATTCTTTAAGGCTTTCATGTCTCAATTCTTGCATCTGTTTATAGTAATGATTTGTGATAAATATTTCTTCAAATACTCTCCTTTGGGACTCCAATTTTATGATAAGGGAATACTCTTGTCCTCATCATATAAATGCTTTCTCTTCTAATTCTGACCCCATGTTGTTGAACTTTGCATATATTTCCTGTCACTATAACTTTATGACATGTGATGAAGTATCTCAATCTTACATTCCAATTCCATTATTTCCTCATTAATCATATCCATTTCATATTAGTTTATCTGCAGAGTTTTTATTTAAAATATATTGTTCAGTCCTGAATTTCTCTTTGATTCATTATTTTATCAGGTTATGCCTGCTTCTAATTTACAATAATACTGTATGACTTTTTGAAGGTGTTTATTATGCTTACATAACATTTTTATTTCTGTGTGACATTCTTGCTGTATTTTTCTATTATAGCGCATTTATTTTTCTTTAAGACCATTGTAGTCTTCAGAAAATGAGTATAGTTTTTCTATGAGCTCAGATTCCCCTGAGATTATCAGCTAACTTTACAGGTAAAATACATCAATGGGAAAGATCAAAATTAAGCCCTAATCACTTTTGATTCTTTAATGGACAGGTGAGAAAGTTCTTCAGGGCAAATAATTCCCAACAACATTGTGATGTTAATTTTATGTGTTAACTTGGTTAGACCATGGCATCCAGCTTTTGGTCAGACACTAGTCTAGACACTGTCGTGAAAGTACTTCTTATATGTGATTAATATTTATATCAGCTGTCTGAGTAGATTGTCCATAAAGGGGTTAAACCTCATCCAATCAGTTGAAGACCTATATAGATAAAGACTAAGTCATCCAAAGAAGAAGAAGTGACTACAGACTCACTTTGAACTTGAGCTGCAACATCAACTCTTCCTTGAGCCTCCAGTTTGCTGGCTTGGCTGACCTGCAATTTCACACTTGCCAGCCTCCATTATTCTGTGAGGCCTCTCTCTACATATTAATAGATAGATAGATAGATGATAAATAAATAGAGATATAAGCTTATATATAAAAATCTATTTTTATATATTTATGTAAGTATGTATGCATATACTATTTGTTCTAACCTGAGATTGACTCCTAATAGTTGTTCATTTCTCTATTATTGGTCGCTGTACTACACAGAGATACTCCCTAAATAGTCACAGTTCTTTGTTAAAATGTTTTTTTCTTTGCGGAGATAACCTATCCTTTAGATTCTGAAGAGGACTGAAGAGGAGAACAATCTCACATTATTCATCAATTCTTCCTGTCCCTGTTTTGACCTATGTTGACAACACAGCTAATATGTTCTGTAAATTAGGTATATTAAATACGTTTTGACATGATATGATGGTTTGAGTTGTAACTCCATAATAAGTCAAGAAGCATCTGTATTTGCAAGTTATCTTTATCATGCAAACAATCATGCACACACATACACACATATATTTATCAACACACACATACTAACCTTTATAATAATTTTGTAATGATACATTATTGCAAATGCTAATACATGTAACTAAATTAAAGTGTTTATATGAAATTTTATTAAAATAAAATTTGATTGGAGGTATTCAAAGCCAATAGACAAAGAATACTTACAATAAATAAATATGAATCAGGTAATTGGCTAGCTATTTTCTGATAAGGTCACTAGATTTCCTCATCTTACATCATAGAAAATAAATAACAAATTAATTAAACTTTTAAATGAAAATATTAATACATAAGAAAATATATGCGAATAAAAGGGTTCTGTGTAAAAATATGTCTTTTCTATTAGTGAAAAAGGAAAGTAATAATGAAAGCCAATAATATTGAAAGAAAAAACAGTATGGACAACTATAGCATAATATTAAAAGTAATGTAAGAGAACAGCAGAGTGTTAATGTATTACATATCAGAGAAATTTTTTACAGAAATACTAAAACCTTAAGTGTAATTAAGTAAATACAATTAATTAGCATTAAATTAGGTTAAATATGAATGCAAATCCAATCAAATAAATTACTAATAAAATTAGTAAGTAAAATAGAACCCAACTTGTAATTTTACAAAGGCTGTTTTAGTTTATTTAATTTTCACAAATGCACAAGAAAGTCACTCGTTTTTCTTGTCACGTTAGAAAACACTAGGAGCAATTATAGTAAACAAATCTTGCTAAGTAACAGTAAGACGAGCACTTTATTTTTACTTCTGACTGATAAAGTTTATTCCATAAAATTATAAACAGACGTTTGCCTGCTTAATATATGCCAAGTATATGTGATGCCAAGCCTATATGCTAGTTGTTATTCTTATGCAATAATACTTTATTGAACATCATATTAATCTTATATAGAGTTTTCACTTTTATTTTAAAGTAGATTAAATGGAGGAAGAAAGACTTTATGTATCTATTCCAAGTCATAGTAAGAACCAGAAAAGGGACATAAGCCTGCTCACAGATAAAACCAGAGATTATGGGTTCCAGAGACCTGTGTGGCTCCATGATGTACGGGTTGTGTGTTTACAGTGAACTAAGTAAATAAATCTTATACTACGCATTTGTAATATGTTATAGACATGGGATGAGTAAGTTTATATCTCTTGCACATAATAATAAAATATAATGTGTATGTCTTTTTAAAATGTAAGATTTCTAAATAATTTATTTTTAGTTTATTTCATAGAAAGATTAGCATGAGTAGTTAGAAAAGAATGGTCTTTCAACATAAGAGTATTTAAGAAGCACTGATCTAAACTACTCTGCTCCATGACCTTTGTTTGTGGCAAAATTGTATTTGTTTTCATCATAATTTTGGACATACATTTACAAAAACTATTATAATTTTACATCCATTTTCCATTGACTTATATCTCAGTAAATAATTTTATTTCCTATCCAAATGTATGATAAACATACAAATATACTTTTTTCATTTTTATTATATTGTTATTTGATTTATCTGATATTAAATTTAAAATTAAAATATATTTTGATAGTCTGCAAATATCTAATAACCACGAATAAAACATTAAAAAAATCCTCAGCACTAGAATTTCAGTAAGTTCCATTCATATGTATTATGTTCCATTCATATATGTTGACCAAATTTTAGAATGTTTGAAATATTTCCTAAAAAGATATAAATATATTTAAATTTTTCATTTGTCTTCTCAAACTATTAGTAATAGAAAAAGACTTATTTGATCAATTGTAAATATACACTATAAAGAGTCAATATATATTTCCAGGTTAAGGACTAATAAAATAATCCATAAACAGTATAGGAAATATATGTGTATATATACATATATATATGTGTGTGTGTGTGTGTGTGTGTACCTATGTAATATGCATATGAATATGTCTTTATCAATCTATCTACAAATGTGTATTTATAATTGTGTCTGTGTAATTTGGAAATGAATAAGCTAGGTATTCATCATTTGTTATAATATCGATAACCAATGTCTTAGTGCCATTTGTTGAGAAGCCTCCTTCCTCACTTGTCTGTGACGGCTGCTGTGCCACATGTTTCAACATAAACCTGTGTCTGTCGCTGAACTCTCTACTCTCTTCAGTTAGACTCCTTTTTGGTCAGTGTAAAAACAACACACTACTTTAATTATTAATTTTGTATAGCATCAAATAATGAGTGACCACAAACTATGCACTCATTATCAGTATTATTATTTTGCCTTTGATTCATCTTTATAAATATACAGTTATACAGTAAGTAAAAAAGCATAATTTTTCATGTTTAACATAACTGTATAACAAACTTTGTTCCATTTTTAAAAAATATTTTTTTACAAATCACCAGTATAATCAATGCACAAACTACTGACAAATACGGATGACCTCAATAAGACTCTAAAATACAGAAAGATTAATATTAAGGATGATGCATTCACAACTGTGTTCTAAAACAATGCTACACAAAACAATTTTGGGAACCAACAGTGGTAATTAGAGAAAAACATATCTATTCAAATGCATATGTGTTTGAAAATAAATATGCTAACAGAGAATTCTCAGCTGAATCTCTTCCTCTAGGATGTCTGAAATAACTAAAGTATAAATGGAGACTAAAAGATAGTCTGGTATTAACTACAAATCTAGTAATGCTTTTAGCAGGACATACCAATATTTTTATTGTACATAAAT